GCGGCTTCCCGCCACACCTGCACCCACTTTGCCTCCTGGGTTTCTTGGTTTCCAGGGTGTGACTTGGACCCCAGCCCTGGGGCAGGGAAGAAGGCCACTGAGCCTTGGGTCCCACTGCCAGACACTACCCGAGCCACCCCCAGACCCGTGCAGCAGGCCCCGGTCTCACTCCCGGCTGCGGGGGACGTGCCCACGTCTGTCTCCTCAAATTCCCGTTCTCCCTCAGCGATCATAGTCGCTGTCCTGGGACCCGGGAGGCAACACGCAGTGCACTTGGAAGGGATGCAGTTCCAGATGTGGCACTGCCCCCCCGCTCACCCGTGTGGCCCTGGCAAACTGCAGTAGAGCAGATGACATGCGTCCCTCCTAAGTGCTCCTGCGCCCGGCCCCAGCTCCCAGTCTGTGATGAGGGTGCGGGGTCTGGGGGCCCAATGTGAACACCTAAACACTGAAGTGTGACACAACCCCGAACCCTGCATGGAAGCCGGAGCAGGAGAGGATGGGGCAGCAGGACACGGCCACGGAAGGAGCAGAGGCTGCTCCCACCTGAACCCTCTGGAGAGCGGTCCCGCCACCCCAAGCGACCACCAGATCCCAAACGCACTTGACTCAACACTCATGTTGGCACCAGACGGAGCACACATGTGGTGTTTCCTGCCCGGCCCGGCCCAACAAACCACAGGCACAGCACCACCCCCTCCCCAGAGCCAGAGGGGGCCTGAGCGACACGGAGGCCTGGGTTCGCAGCCTCTCCCTGCGAAGGCCGGAGGGTGGACGGTCTGCCCGGCCCCCTGCCTCTGCCGCCGGCGTGAGAGCAGCTGCAGACAGTGGGAACCAGCCTGGGTGACGGTGTCCTGACAAACCCGTGTTGACTAATCCAGGACTGTGATGGGGGAGCTTCCTATTCGAGACCTTGTCTGTAGTGCTTGAAATGCTCATATCAGCAAAAAGCCAAGATGTTCCCATTTTGAAGGAAAGCACAACACGGGACCCAGAGACACCCCCTGCCCACCCAAGCACGTTCTCCCTCGAGCGCAGCTCCCTTTGGAATTCGTGGCCCGACCCAGAGAGAAGCAAGTCAGACGGACCGCATGAAGGCATGTGTTGTTACGGAAGTGTCCCCCAGTGTGTCACCAGATGCCCAAGAGGCGACAGCTTGGGAAGGGGGTGGGCACAGAAAGACCCCCAGTAAAGCTCCGCTCAAGGGGAGGCCACCAAGGCAGCCACGGAAGGGAGCGCAGGCGTGGGGACAGCCCCGCCGCCCACACACCGGAGGCTCTACCCTCAGACCCGCCGACCACCTCCCACCACCCCTTCTCCGAGGAAGCCGGCCTCGCTCACAGTGGTTTTCCTGTTTGCTGTCTGCCCTCGACCCCTCCCCGGAAGGGGAGCTCTGGACGGCAGACCCTCTTCTACTGGAGCAAGGACAGCCCCATCGCCTGGGACCAAGGACGGTGAGGACCTTGTGTCACATGAAAGGCCATTCGCTTTAGTTGTGGCCGGACCAGCAAGGCAGAACAAGACTGTCACCTCCTTTGTTCTAGGAGTTATGCTCCCAGTAATACAGCAAGGTCAATAAACCTTTCTGTAAAGAGTCTGACAATTACTATTTTCGGAGACCTGGGCCGCGAACTCTGCGACAGCAGCTGCAGGCCACACGTAAGCCAAGGGCTGTGTTCTAATAAAACTTTATTTCAGAAACGAGCAGCCAGCTGGATTTGGTTCACGGCCCCGTTTCGCCAACTCGTGGTCTAGAGTCAAGTTTGCCGCAGGAGTCCCTGCGTCGCCCCACAGCCCCTCACACCTTCCGGCCGCCTCCTGCTGCCAAGCGGGTCCTGCCGCCCCGGACGCCTGCACCGCAGGCTGGTTTGTGTGAGACTCCGTGCAAACGCCGGCATCTGTCCCCGAGACCCTGCTCCTGGCCCGCCCAGCCTTTCTGAGTCCTGGCTCTATCCGAAATGCAGCTCCTGTCCCACTCCTGAAGGAGGTCTGAGAACCAGTGCACACCTTCGCCCACCTGCGGTGACCCCCAGAACCTGCAAACAGGACCTGATTTGGAGAAAGGGTCTTTGCAGGTGTGATCAAGTTAAGGCTCTCAAAGCGGTCACCCCGATCATCCACGTGGGCCCTAAACCTAGAGATGAGCGTCTGTGAGCGACACAGACACAGAGGAGAGGCTGCGGGAAGCCGAGGCGCAGGCAGACGAGCCGCAGGCGGAGGAGGCTGGAGTGAGAGGCGGGAGGAGCTCAGCGCTGCCGCCGCCGCGGTTTCGGACCTCCAGCCCCCAGGACTGTAAGTGAGCACGTCTGCGTTGCTTGAAGCCCCCCAGTCGGTGGTAATTCGTCACCACAGCTCCGTCACTGATCTCATTTTTAAACATGAACAGAACAGGGTGAGGGACAAGGCTGCGGGATGTGCTCCCGCCTTCTGCTTGGTGGGAGCCGCCCAGAGCCACAGCTGACGCCCACCGTCAGACTCGGGGCCGCTTGGCCCCCACTGTGGGCTCCATTAGCTGAGGTGGAACCCAGTTCACGGGAGGGGGCTGGGTGGGGCGCGGCAAGTGTGGGACCCAGTGGGGCCCTGGGATGGGCAGCTGCTCCGAGCTTTCTCCCCTCCCCATCACCTCGGGCCACAGATTGATCCTATTTTTAAAACCCATTCTGTGGGGGACGCTGTTCGGCACAAGCCGCTGCAGGAGCAAGCACCAGAGAAGCAGAAATTCTCTGTCCGGGGCCTGAGACACAGCAGGGCCGGGCCTGGGGAGACGGCGCCGCCACCGGCCCTTCCTGCCGACACACCAGCCAGAGGAGCATGAGAGCCTGCGTGGCTGGCCAGCTCAGCCAGGGACCACACTGGGAGCATCCTCGGGGCACCCACCACTGTGAGGCCTGGTCAGCAGCTGAGGAGGCACCAGTGGCCTTCCCGCCCCGCACCCTGGGCCCCCTACTCAGATGGCTTCTTCCTCCCCACACCAGGCCACGTGGGCCCCGAACCCCCGGCTCCCAGCAGCACCCAGCCAAAGCGTGGGGCTGAAGGGGCACAGCCTGGCCCGGGGCCATCCTGACTCCCGTGGCAGGAGATGAGGAGATGAAGCCGCCCACAGGGCCTGGAGGGAGGCCTGCACTAGGGCAGCTCGCCACCAGGATGGAGGGGACCGGGCCGTCATGGTGAGAGGAGGCACAGATGGCGTGATGACAGAAGTGCCGAAGATGCAAACCCAAGCAGTGAGGACCAAGGGGGCCCGCACAGGCACGCACACCATCACACACTCACGTACGCTCACACAAACATCCACTCGCTTGCTCACGCGTGTATGTGCTCACACGCACGTGCACACACGTATGCCCTTGCACATACACTCACACACACGCTGCGTCCCTGTGCACAGGTGCCACGGCCCGAACCCACGTCTGGGACTGGGGACCCATCCCTCAGATCGTGGAGCCTCCACTCTCCGTCTGAGAAATGGACGCCACCCACCGCACGGAGTGGAGGCGCTAACACTGCCCCAGCCTGGCACACAGAGGCCCTCGGAGACACCACACACCCACGTGCAGAGTGGGAGGAGCAGGGACCTCGGCCTGGGGCCTGGGACAGTCCCCATCACCATAAACACCAGGGAGAGCACACTTTGGGCCACGCACACCCGCCTGGGGGTTGCCCCCCCCCCGCCCTCCAGTGACCTCCGCCCGCCCACACTGAGCGCGGGTGCTTAGGTGCAGGACAAGGCAAACTCTCTGGCACCCCGTCATCCCACACAGGGTCCTGCTCATTGAAAGGGCCACTGGAAGACCCCCACTGGGGCCCCTAGGAGCCCACCTCCCTCTCCTCCCAGCCTCCCCTACAGCACTCAGCCCACTTCATTCTGCTCAAGAGCAGCCCGGGGACCCAGGAGACAGAGCCCATCTCCTGTGGAGCTGACACCGAGGGGGGGAAACAGCCAAACTCCAAAAAATGTTGATAAAGAAGAAAACTATGAGCAAGTGCCATTCAGGGGACCAGAACAGGACTTCGATGAAAACGGCTGCTGGGGGCCCTGAGCACAGGGGTCAGAGACTCTGCCAGCAGGGACAGTGGACTCCCGAGTGATGTAAGGGTCAGCACCACAGGAAACAGCATCATGCTAGAGGGAACAGCCAGTGCAAAACTTCAGGCCAGGGACCCAGTGGGCAGGGCCAGCAGGAGGGGCAGGGGAAGAGCGGTCCAGCCAGGTGAGCCTGCCAAGCCAGGCCGAGAGCCTCGTCCCGGCCCACCAGGGGGCCCTGGGAGCTGCAAGCAACAGAGGACCCAGCCTGGCTGCGTGAGGAGAACCAACACGGGGTGACAGCAAAGCTCCAGGCTCCTGCAGCTGTCCAGGCGAGCGGCGCTGTTGGCCAAGGCTGGGCAGAGGAAAGGGGGCCCGAGGCGAGGCTCTTCTGGAACCATGGTGACAGCCCCGAGGGGCCTTTCTTCTGCCAGGGGCAGCACTAACTCCCAGGACCTCTTGGCAGGCACATGAATGGGGGAGAGAAAGAAAGAGGATGATGCTGGACTGGGGGGAACGCCTGGGGAGGGGATGCGGGGGTGGGGAGAGGATGTGGGGGTGGGGGGTGGCGTTCTGTCCTGGACACATAAGCCAAGAGGCCCTTCGGACACCAGGCGGCGTGCACGCCGGCAGCTGGACACACGCGTCTGAAGATGTAAAAATAACTGTGGAGTCATGGGCACTCAGAGGCGTTTACAGCCCAGGGCTGAAAGCCTGGGGAAGGCGGCTGAGGAAAGGAAATCTCTGGGCCTTGTAGGAGGCAGGGGGCCGGCCGAGAGGATGGGGAGCTGGGAGAGGAGATGGAGGTTAATGCCTACCCATGGGACGCAGCCAGAGGAGCGGTTGCTGGATTTAGCCCTCAGAGGTCACAGTGACCTTGAGGTGGTGCCTTCAGCAGAGCAGCAGAGCAGCAGGGCAGGAGCCTGAGGGGACCCTGCAGTGGGGCAGCAGCCTGGGGGTAGCCCTGGGCACTGGGGTGGGGGCTGCTGACCGGCAGAGCTGCTGGTGCCTCAGGCCAAAGTCAGGAGGGACCCTTCTGACCCAGAGGCCCAGGCCCGTTTAGGATACAATTCAGGGAGGAAGCAGGGGCAGGCTGCCCCAGCGCATGGGCATCAGCGCTGCAGACAGTGTCCCGGGCCCCTCCCCACCCGCCCACCACCCACCCACCGTCCATCCACCCTCCACAGGGACCATCTCCAGGGCCCAGTGAGGACCCATGCAGGCCACACAACCAGTACAAGCAGAGGCAAGAGCTCAGCCCAGGTGTTCTGATTCGCAGCCTGGAACCAGGGGCTGTAGGAGGCCCTGGCCCTTTGGCGAGGTCCCCATAAGGCCAGGAGGGCTGGCCACCGCCCATACCCTGTCCTTGGGCTTCCTGCCCAGCCAGGACTGAGATGTCAGGCCCATTCCCATGGGACACAGATGATCCCAAGCCAGGAGGTGGGACCGGAGAAGGGACCCTCCCCATCACCACCCGCTGGGACCCCTGTCCCCGTTGGAATGTGCCCACCTTAGCAGAGCTGCCGCTGTGTGGGAAAGGGGCCAGCACAGGCCAGTGGGACAGCTGGTGTGGCCTATAGGGCACGCGCCCCAAGGCCCCTGCAAGCTTGCTCGGCCCGGGTGATGCCCTGAGTGGCTGGGTCCACAGCACCTCATCTGGCAATCCCAGCCCCTGCCATCCTGCCTGTGACAGTGACACTGAGTCGAGGACCCTGCCCTCCAGGAACTCAGCACCAGGTCTGAGAGCAGGGATGGGGGCGGGGGGACCTGAATTAACACCTCACCATCAGTGGTGGGGTCAGGTGTTGACTTTCCAGGTAGCCAAGGAGCAGTGCAGGCTGAAGGCAGGAGGCAACACCTAACCATTCTTGGGCCAGGCTCCTTGGGTCTCCAAGTCTCAGCCCCTCTGCCTAGAATGACCCAAAGGTTCTGCCCGCTCCAGGGCTCAGGGTCCCTCCTGGCGGCTTTTCTAGGCTGAATCAAGCCCTGGTGGTCCACACGGGAAGTGGTGAGGCAGGGTCCTTGGAGCTCAGTGTGCCAGGAGCCACCCTGGCTGCTCGGGACCCTCTAGGTGCCTCCCCTGTGGGCCGCCCCCTCCATGGGCCAGCCGTGCACGATGCCTCTTCCCACTAATCCTTAGCCTCAACTTGGGGAGGAAGAGCGAGGCCGCCCTGGGTCCCCAGGGGTGGGCTCAGGCCTCCCTCCTCCCAGGGGGCCTGGCCCAGAGAAGGGACCCAGACAAGAATTCCTGGGCCAGGACAGAGGTGGAGACCCCACCTCCACCAGGGGCACAACCGCACTGAAGCGTTACTGCCTTTTATAAAGACAGTCACTCATTTTCATGAAAGAGGAGCTTCCTTTCCTTTCACTAAACTTTGTTATAAGAAGAGTAAGTGGTTCTGGTCAAGAAAAGCGCAAACAAGAAAAAACCCTGAAAGCCAAGGGGCCCCCCTTGTGGGCACTCCTGGGGTGGAAGCAATGTTTAAAAACAAAGTCCTGGATTCTTCCTGACAAGAAGGCAGAGCGGCCTCTCCTTTCTCCTCCACAGGCCCCTTCTGTGCCGCACCCAGGACCCGGGGTCTTAGTTGCGAGGCCCCCAGGTACGAGGACTTGCCCCCTCAACCCAAGTCTACCCAAGAGAGCCGGTCTTCGGGACAAGTTGCCGCACCCCTCATATCCAGGCCCCCGATGCGCTCCGGGTGGGGCGGCTCATCAGCTAAGGCCCAGGGAGGGGAGAGCGAGGGGACTCCTGGCGGGGGGAGGGGCTGACGGCCCCCAGGACCACAGCCGCCAGCACAGGGCTTGAGGGCGAGGGATGGCTGGTGAGAGCAGGGCGTGAGACTTTGGAGCTCCCTCCAGCCAAGCACCTGGAAGACGATGACCGCCTGACCGCAGTCCTCGCGCAGCATGAGGACAAAGGAGGTGCTGCTAAGATCACCATCACCGGCAGTGGGCGACCGGAGACACTGGGGACAAGGACGTTAGATGCCAGGCTCAGAGCAGACGTCCACCCAGAGGAACCACGTGTAACTTCCACTACCCCAATTCCCTCCGTCCCAGCCCCAGGGCAAGATCCTGCCTGGAATGCCCTCCCCCTCTGCTTCCCCTCAAACCCAGCCCTTGGAGAGGAGACTCGTCTTTCCCTGGGATCCCGTGGCGCTCTGCGGCTAGACAGCGTGGGAAGACCCAGCAAAGGCTTGCTGACCGCTAAGTCCACTGACAGACTCAGAGCTAAGGCACTGACGACCCACTGCCAACTCCCGCAGTGCAGGAGCCCCCCCCCCCACAGGTGTCCTACAGGGCTGGACAGAGCTTGCCTCTCAACTAGCTCTTCCGGATACTGGCATGAAATCCACCACCGGGGGCTGCAAATCACTACTCAGTCCCACCAAGAGGGACAAAGGACACCCTGGGGCTGGTCTTCCGGTGGGGCACCTGTCCCAGAGGCCTGCACAGGCTCCGCCTCACCACCACCCTACCAAGCAACCCCCAGCCAGCAGCCATGCCTCGTTTCCAGCAGCAGCTGGCCACAGCCTCTTGGATCAGCATGGGCCTTCTCCACACCTCCGTCTCCACCCTCAGCCTGGCCAGCGCCTCCACTCCCTGCCTGCCACAGCCCCCTCTGTCCCCACAGCCCCTGCCGCTCCCCTACCAGGCCTCCCTGGAGCTCCCCAGGACTAGGACCCCATGGCACCTGGCACGGAGTCTGGGCGTGAAAGACCAGCTGAATGAAGGGTGCATGGAGCCCAGGCCACCCTGGAGGGGAAGCTGAGGCCAAGGCAGGAGGTGAGTGTGTCCGAGGCCCAAAGCAGGCCCTTGTATTGCCACCTCAAGGTGGCAGCTCAGCAGAAGGGATGGAGGAGGGGAGCCCGGAGGGGCACAGGCAGGGGCCCCCCACAACAGCCTCCCTGGGAAATGACATACATCCCGGGCACCCTGGAGGACTCTCTAGCAGCCCGCACTTGTGAGGCAGCGTGCACTCACACCCCCAGCGTCCCACACAGACCCCTGGGTGCCTGGGCCGGCACCAGGGCACCTGTCTCCTGAAGCAGCTGCAGCCACGCAGCCCAGAGCCTCCCAGCTGCGCCCGAACCGCTCACTGCGGCTACAGATGCCCAGCGCCGGGCTCCCTGCCGCCTCCTCCCAGCTGGGGGCACTGGCTCTGGTCAGGGAAGTGGGCTGGGGCCATCCTCTCCTCCCAGGACCCATCCCCCGACATGAAATGGAGTTCACTTTTCTTAGGCACAGGAGCAACACTCTGTTCCTACCTGGCCACCCAGCCTCAGCTCCATCTGGGATCCACACCGCCTGGAACACCCATCCTGACTTGGATTCAATGACACAGCTCAGTCCTTGCAAGCGCAGGGAGCCCCAACTTTCTACGGTGCTCCCTGCTGCGTGATGGGGGAGGGGGCCAGAACGGTCTTCTGTTCTTTTGGCCCTCCGGCCTCCACGGGCCCCTCCAAGCCCCTTCCGGCCTCAGTCTGCCCTTCTGCAAAGGGGGTCCCTGCCCGGGGATGCGGGTCTGAAATGACCGCTCCCTGGCTGATGAGGGTGCAGGAGGGTCCTACCTCCCGGCGTCCCGGGCAGGCACAGGCCGAGGCCGGAGCGCTCTCCGGTTACAGCCCTC